TCCATAGCAACAAGAAGAACCTATATCTTAAATACTAAAACATAACACCTGCAACTCCAACCCTAACTCGAGCATTTTGAGCTCAATTCACGAGTTCATGGCAACAAAAATCTAGATAATCAATTTTAGTGTACAAGCATGTCATTATAAAATAAAATCACCACGTAGATATATCAAGAATTAATAAAGCAAAGGGAGGAAAAATCAACTATTAACATCAACTACTACAATAGAATGCAACACATACTAAATCACCTTGTGAAGTGAACATCTAACTCTGGTAGGTGGTTTCCTAAAGTATCGTAGTCAGGGTAGAAAGCATCCTATGGTCCTTAATAATAAGAATACAGAGTTCTCATATTACAATTTTCATGAAAAGATCAATTGCCGGCCATGCCAAACGTGCATTCCAGCTTGTGGATTTGCATGACACCAGAGAATTTACTAAAAGCCACATTCGATGGTGAGCTGGTGGCACCAATTGCACCACCTGAGCTCACTTTAAAAGCAAATGAAGGCTCCAGAAGTTGATTGATTTTTTCCCCTCACAGTCATAAGCCTTAAAATTGGCCACTATCATTTGCAATCAAAGATTCAAGTATTTAAAGGAACATTATATATAGTAGGCAGATTCAGTAAAAAAGTAGTCCTTAAGAACTAACAAACTTGAATGGAGGAAGCAGAAATTAGTGGACCCAGTCACACAATTGCCGAAAACCCTTTCATCACATCCAGAGAATATTATACTTAATCCACTAAACATACATTATTGATAGTTGTATGCCACAAAAGTCACACTCACATTGAAGTGTTTTTACAAGTTGAAAGAGCATCTACATAAATCGGAGAAGTTTCTCGAGAAAAATAGCAAAAATAGTGAATATGGGTTTCACAATGTGTCTAAATTTGCTTCTCTTACTAGCCATGGTAGCATCCTATTGAGACTCGAACCCAGTTTTGTGCTCCCATGATTTTCAGAAGTTAAAACACGTCTTCAAAACACGTTTTTATAAGTGGCAATCTACTAAATTGTGACACCTGGCCTATCATCTATTGTTGGATGGAGGGTTTGATATTTGGAGATATATATACTCAAGAGACTGTTCATTGGCCTCAGATTTTTCATCTTTTGTCCTCTCGTGTAAGAGTTCAAGAGTGTTCCATTTCTCTCTGAGTGGCTAGGATTTTTGGTTTCACTATTTTCTATCGAACATCTCATTCGAAGATTATTGGTTGATGTTTTAGCCATATAGTACTTGTATTTTCTTGAGTGTAAATTTGTAAGTGGAGTTCTCATGTGTTGAGATATGATAAGGAGATCTATTAGTTCTCAAGTGATTTGAGGCAGATCCATTGATTTCTTGAAGAGATAACTCTCTTCCCTTGTGTATTTTGTATTGGCTTAACATTGTAACTTTCGTTGTCGATTTTTGAGGCATTTAGTGCAACCAATCAATATCCATTCTTGGTTGGATGCTCAATAGGTGATTAGGTGATTGAAAGAATACTAAACCTCTGGGACTTTAACTGAAAAATTCTGTTGTGTTCATTTACTTTTTTGCAAGTTTATTTTCAACTTTACTGTTGATCGAATGTATCTTGCTATTAATCGTGTAGATTTGGATCCTTTTCACATCCAATATTTCATCCTTTCACCACCTCTTCTCCACCGTCCTATCCACGTCATAAGTTCTTTCGCCAGTTCCCGACCACCTTATCCACTAACTATCAACCAGATCTGCCATCATCAACCATTTGAACAGTCTCCAGCCCTCCACCCCATGGCCCCCATCTATCAAGAATGACGACATGGTTTTGGGATGATTTGGGGATTTCTCTTTGTAATCTATTAGTTTGGAGCTTTTGGTGGGTTGGGAATTTTGGGGACGTATTATTGTATTAACCTAATTTGTTCATTTCTTAAAGTAATGGGCCTAATTTCCTTTTAAAATATTCTAATACCTTCTAGGAAAAATTTCATAAGTAAGAAATTACGTATGACATATTTCAAAATTAAGAAAACAAGTCAAATTTCAAAAATAAGATTTTTATTAAAATATATTTATGATTTAATTAATTAATTAAATATATTTAGGTCACATATCTATACAATTTGGTCACAAATTAATAATTTAATTAGTCACTTATTATTTTTTGGTTACAAATCAGAAATTTTATGTCACAAATTATTTTACAATCACAATTCAAAAATTTTATAAGTTACAGTTTGTTCATTGGTCACAAATCAAAAAATTAATTAATCACGGATTAATCTTTAGTCACAATTTATCAAATTATTGGTCACAACTTATTTTTCGATTACAGATCGAAAATTTTATAGGTCACAAATAAAAAAATGTATAGGTTACATATCACAAATATTATAGATCACATCTTATTAGACAGTCACAAATTATTAATTTTTTAGGTCACACATTATTTCTTGGTCATAATTTATCTTTTTTATTGGTCACATATTTTTTATTAATAACAGATTAACCAATTTAATGGTTACAATCAAACAAATAATCTGTGAGCACCACCACCACTTGCCGACAACCATTGCCTCCACTTGCACCATCGCCACTGCTGGCAGCACCACCACCACCCCAATAGCAACATTGCAGTCTCAAACAAATCAACACATTCACCTGGACAAACCATCGCCACTGGCATCTCATCGCCACGACCACCATCATCTACCGCCACGACCACTACACCGCACCACACAACAAAATCGAAACCACCACAGCCACTGCACCACGCCCACAACCATCACAGCCACCGCACTACACCCACAACCACAACCACAACCACCAACCAACCAACCAACCCGCACCACAATCATCAACCACATAGCACTGCATCACCAATGACAGTGACAACAACCAATCCGCAACCATAGATCCAAAACACAAATCCAATCATACCCAACCACCAACCACATCGACACCCACTGATCCAAAACACGAATCCAAAACCACAAATCCGACACCACATCGTCGCCACGCCAACACTGCCTCACAACCATCAATGGTGCCTTACTACAACAACATCAAGTCATGACTGAATACAGTGGTGGTTCTACACCGCCTATTCTTCATAGGCGAGAGACTAGAGCGACGAGATGTAGAGAGGGAAGGGGCTTGGGGGGAAATTATTTGGGTGTGGGGGGGAGTTAGGGTTAGTTTTATAAATTAAATAATTAATATAAAAAAATTTCTAATTTTTGAAATATTAAAGTTCCAATCTGATTTAGGAATGTTGAATACTTAAAGTATGAGATTGTGTAATTTCCACTACCTTTTATTGGAGATTCACTCATCCATTATAGTCCAGTATACTGCTTGAATATTTCATGTAAAATTTGTGATTCTTCATGTGCAACAATAATTTTTCAGACTATTGATTGTAAAAATTTGATTTTTTTTTTTCAAAAATAACAAACCAATATTCTTATTGAGTATTTATATATTAGGTTTTATTCTACATGAACATCAATATCATTATTATTTAGAATATATACCTTTTATAATTATACTTCTCTAAGGGCATAAACATAATTAAATGTTATTATAGATCACATTATGTGGGTTTCTTTACATGATTTGATATAATTTTAACGAATGAATTTATTTGTGGTAGAAGAAAGGCAATTAATTTGAAGTAGTTTTCAAATTTGTAAAATCTAGAGAGTTTTGTATAGTTTTAGAAATTTTGTACTCCAGATTTGGTTCGATCCTGTATGTAAGATTTGATTCATATTTTTCATCACTACATTTTTTTGTATATTTTTAATAAACGACTGCGGAGGTGTATGAACACATTTTTAACGATCGGATTGAATTGTGTATAAATTGATAGGCAAGAAACACACACTTCCGATGCACTATGTGAATAGTGATTTTTCAAACATAAATGAGGGTGCGTTTGAATGCAAATATGGAATTTGAATGGAAATAAAATAAATTTTACGTAATAAAATAAATTTTACGTAATTCAATTGCCTAAAATTTATTTGCATGAAAATTGTTAATTAAAATTGTTTGGTTGATTTAATTTTTAATTTATAAAATATTATACTTGTCTATTTTTTATTGGTGGGTAGATGAGAGAGTAAATGAATAAGAGAGAGAAAGAGAGTAAATTTCTTGGAAAATAAAATCATACTCTCCCTAGACAAAATATTTTCTTTGATTTTGAGGAAAATATAGTCATGTGACCAAAAGTAGGAAAATATTTTTCATGAGAAAAAATAGCAATCAAACAGTATAAAAATAAGAATTTTGGTGAAAAATATATTTTTCACGAAAAATATTTGCAATCAAATGCACCCTAAAAGTATTCATGTTCATAACATGCTATAAAAGTGCAGAAATTGTGAGAATAAATGTTTTACATTTTAATGATAAATATTGTATATTTGACTTCAATTAACGGTTGCAATTGTAATACATTCTTTGGGGGTAAGTAAGAAAATCATAAAGACTTTTAGATAAGATCGACTAGTCTTTTGTAGTGACGGTAAAAAAACCCGCCCCACCTTCTAGGATGCCCTGCGCTGGGCGGGGGTGGGATGGGGCCTATGAATTTTATTTTTTTTTAAATTTCAAGTTATATTATTATTAGATAATAAAATACAAATGTAAAATTTTAATTAATTACAAAAGAAATAAAATTGAGTCAAAACGTAATTTTATTTGAAATTGTTTAATTTTTAACATTGTTTATTTCAAGTGTTTACTTTGAATTTTTAAATTTTAAATTTATATTTTATTCACTAATAATAACATAATTTGAAATTTAAAAAAATAATAATAATTAAATGGGGCGACAAATGGGACGGCCCCGCCTCACTGACATCCCTAGTCTTTCACTGTTATTTAGTATTTTACTTTAATATTTTCAATTTCTCGAAGTATGTTTCTAATATTATCCCTTTTATTTACGAAAAATAAGTATTTATGGGTTTGTTTTTATCGTTTTTAAGCAAAACAGAACAACTGTACAAATTGTAGGCACTGCGCAATTTATACACTTACACACGACTCTCCGATTCCGGCAATAAAACAACCTCATTGTACCAAAGTACAGAAACTTGAGATCCCCACGAATTTCATTTTTAACAAGATTAGCATCTTCCGGAGGGTGGGTTGTATCGAAATCCGTCTCTCTTTGTTCCAAATATCTTGAATTTGCTTATAATTCATGTATTTATCGAAACAAAATACAAACCAAGGAATATGATTCATGCTTTTAATTTACAAATATAGGCATCTTGATTTTTAATAGTATTGGTTTTGATTTTTTGCTTTCTTAGATATTGAATTATTAAGGGATTCTGTTCATATGCGGCACCGATTATTCAATTATTTAGTTCATGAAGGGTTTTCAAGGGAAAAACAGCGATCCAATTCGTAATTCTGTTAAAAAAAACTGTAATTATTCTTTGAACGGAATTCAGGGTTCTGTCTCATCCGAGGCAGGACCAAGTGCCTGCATTAGCAAGGATAAAAAATCTGTAGCCATTTGGTCAGGAATCTGGCTACCGGCTTTGTCAATTTTTGGGACTTCTAATAGTAATAACAATAGTGAGCAGAAAAGTAGCTGCAACACCAGTACCAGGAAAAAGTCTTTGAGTGGAAGAAACTATTATGAGGATTGGAGAGCAGCTGTGAGGAGAGTGATGATGAATGGTGGATCAATGAGGAGAATATTGGGGTTCAATAAATCCACGGGTTCCTTGTCCAACAGTGATATTTGGCTTTTGGGAATTTGCTATAAAATTGCTCAACAAGGAGATGACTTGAATTCTTCCAGTTCTGATCCGACTCAGAAAGAGGGATTTACCGCGTTTGTTGAGGATTACTCATCTCTGATTTTGATCACATACCGAAAAGGTAGTATAGTATGTATATGGATTGAATGCTTGTATTATACATGATGATGAGATTAATGAGCTTTTATTTGTTTTGGTGAGCTTGTAGGGTTTGATCCCATTAGAGATTCAAAGTACACTAGTGATGTTCATTGGGGTTGCATGCTTCGAAGCAGCCAGATGCTTGTTGCTCAGGCATTAGCCTCTTCTCTTGTTAAGCTTTAGAGATATGATTCATTTTGTGTGTATAATTAGCATTTTGCTAACTACTTTCCCATGTGCACAGGCTTTTCTTTTTCACAAATTTGGAAGGTCTTGGAGGAAATCCATACACAAGGTGATGTACATTGACTCAGAATCTGATTATTATACATTAATATTTTAATAATGTTTATATATAATTTAGCCGTGTCCATCTGATGGCCTGTAAGATGCTTTGATGTTCACCTTAGCGTTGTTCTAATTTTGCAGCTACTTGATCAAAGTTACATTGATGTATTGCAACTTTTTGGAGATTCTGAGGACTCACCTTTCTCCATACACAATCTTCTCCAAGCTGGAAAGGCATATGGCCTTGCTCCAGGATCATGGGTAGGTCCATATGCCATGTGTCGCACCTGGGAAACTTTGGTGCGTAGTAAGAGGGAGGAGAATAAAAATGGAGGGCTGCCCTCAATGATGACTATATATGTGGTTTCTGGTGATGAAGATGGGGAACACGGCGGAGCTCCTGTTCTTTGCTTTCAAGATATTTCTAGGCATTGCTTCGAGTTTTCTAGAGGTGAAGTCGATTGGACTCCTGTCCTTATGTTGGTTCCATTGGTTCTGGGACTGGACAAAGTCAACCCAAGGTATGGACTTATATGTCAAAACCTTGGGATATGAAAGTCATTGACTCATTATTTTTTGAAATTTCTACATTTTAGAATTCTCTGAGTTATCTGTTCTTTTACTTGCTCTTGATCAATTTGAGATGATTCAGGACACGGTGGCTATTCTTATCTGTGTGCCTAACTTACCTTATATCTGTTTAAATAAATCAAATTATGTAACTTGATAAAAACATGGAAAGTTGAAACTTATTTGGTATTCAAATGTGTGAAGTCACTGGAATGTGAGAAAGATTATCAATTTTAAACTCTCTCTCTTTTTTTTTTTTTTTTTTTTTTTTTTTTGGGGGGGGGGGGTTTGTGTTGTTATTATATGTCTCTTTTTCCTGTATATGAACTTGCAAGCTGGCCTCTTCTAGGCTTCTGGCACATTGATGCTTTCCACATTACGATGTTAACGGGAATAGTCGTGTTGTTGACACAGTACATAAACAACTTGGGAGTTATCGAGAGATCTGGACACAGGTGCTACATTAATAGCTGTCTAGCCAGATCAGATTAAATCATAGGATGACGTCTTTGTGGTGTTTATGCTCTTACATCAATATCTCGATAGTTTGCACCATTTCTCTTAGATGAAGGTATTCGCATAAGATGAAGACATGGTGAAGATTAAGTTTTTGTACTTTTGCAGTTTGTGCTTTATATATGAAACACATTCCTTCCTGATAAAATTGAGATGGTTTAATGGAAATAATAATAATAATAATAATAATAATAATAATAATAATAATAATAATAATAATAATAATAATAATAATAATAATAATAATAATAATAATAATACAAATTTAAAAATAAATAAATGTCCTTCAGAAAGCAAAAGGAGAAATAATTGGCCATGCATGGCATTTGAGACACAAACCAAGTCACTCCTATTGACCACTTGTATTTGGTGATATCATAAATGATGACAAGAAGTAAAATGTCGAGTTTATATGGCAATATTCTTGGGAGTGTGATTATTTGTGATGTAACATAATTGCAACATTGTGTATTTATCTTATGTTTGGATGACAATATTTTGTGATGAACCTATACGGCAGGTTTCCTGCAGAGCATAAAGAATGTGCCTCAATTGTCAAAATTACGCATAGACATCAGGACTTCAAAAATTGTAAATGTCTTCAAGAGGCAATTAAGCTCCAAAATTTAGTGCTGATTCTTCAAGATCTTTATTACTTCTATACAAATTATAGACAATAGAATGATTTTGATAATACTGGCAACCTTTATATCAACTCAGAAAATGTATCTTCACTTTCTTAAATCTACTATCAGTTGATTAGTAAAAATGATGGACCTAAGATAATATCTGGTGTGTCATCAACACCAAGTTCAGAGTTAACAAACGAACAACACACATTCCAGAGCATAAATGGGGTTACTGATGTGCGGTAGTAACTATGTCACTTTAATAGACAATCAAACTTTAGAGCTAGAGAAATGGAAACTATACTGTTAAGCAAGTTTTAAAATAAATTCATGCGACTTCTTTATCCATTTAGTGTGACCTTTTTCAAATTGTCCCTGTTAGTGATGGCCATCAATATTCTTGCTAGCACACACTTTCTACACCATGAGCCAACACTTAACACATTCATACTGGTGAGTGGTGAATGCCACTAATTGTGATGATTTACCTTGATTTGGTATCAATGACGTACCGTTGCACCTTAAATCCTGATGGCATGAATAGGGGAAATGCTTGACTATTTAGTTTTTTATGTTAGTAATATATATTAGGGAACCTACGTGTTTACGTCTTTACAACTTAGATAAAACCCGGAGACCATAAGCTTAGAAAGATAAGTGGGTGGCCACAATTGGAAATTGAGTGAATGAATTACTGATAAATGCATATCTGAGAAGTGGGAAGGTAAGGAATAAATTGCATCCAACATTTTAAAAATGATAGAAACAAGGGAAGCAATCTGTGTCAAGATTTTCTCGTTCATTTAAGCCGAGTTGTGGAGGGAATGTGATGATGCATTGTGTTCTTTGCATTAAAAGCAAAGGCAATTTGTGTTTTCTTATTTAAACAGACACTCTCTCATTGGGGTGAGGCTGGGGGAAAGGCTGGTAAAGAAAATGACGAATTCATTTCCAGATAGGTGAAGCAAAGCCCAGAAAAGGAAAGAAAGGGATGTGTAGTGTTCCTGCCCCATGTAGTGTAGAATTCGAGAGTGCATGGTAATAATTTAATCAAAGAGGAAGGGCCGGTAAAGCAATGATGAATTCATTTCCAGATAGGTGATGCGATGCCCGGCAAAGGAAAGAAAGGGATGTCAGTATTTTGTCAAAGCCTTGAAAGAACTAGAAAGAGGAGAAGCTCGGTCATTGCAGGAGAGCTCCGTCTGTGTCTCATCTCTTTCTCCGCCATATACAATATACTTGGAGAGTGCAGGGCGAAAAATTCAATCAGAGTCACAACTGAGATTCATTTTCAAGACTGGACCATAGTGCATGTCGGAAAACTCAATCACACCATTATGCAATGAGATTTAGAGGGAGACTTTCATTAGATTCTTTGCTATTGAACTATGGTGGTTGGGGCATGCCTTGCACAGACCTAAAGAATGTGATCTCAAAGAAACCTTTTAGAAGAGGGAGAAGCAGACGAAATTTAACATGTTGTGAATTGTGATGTGGTTGTGAAAGATTTCCTTACATTGGGATTAATAGTCATACAGAGTGGTGAAAAAGAATTAATGTAGCTGATCCTAAATTTTATTGTATTAGTTGTTAATGATATATTATGGATTTAGTAAAAATATTTTACAATCTCATTGATCAATTTTTTTGTATCATCTGTGTGTGTGTGTGTGTGTTCTGAAGTGTAACAAATGCAGACACAAATGTTTTAGTTGCTTTCCTAATGTTTATGTAAATTTCTAAATTGTCGATAGGTATCTTCCCCTGCTAGCTGCTACATTCACTTTTCCACAGTGCCTTGGGATATTGGGCGGTAGACCTGGTGCTTCAACATACATAGTTGGAGTGCAAGATGGAAAAGCATTTTATCTTGATCCCCATGAAGTTCAACAGGTGTGTGGAACACGTTTTGTCTTCTTGTAGGAGCCTCACAATATGTTCTTATGGAGAATAATTGGTTAAATATATTATCTTGAATCAATTTTTTGTTTTTATGTCACTGTTCCAATATAATGACCTGATATTGGAATATAATAAATGTTAGAGAGCCTGCTCAAACCGTTCAAACTCATTCATTTGGACACGTATTACATTGTTCAAAATTGTTGGAGATTGTATACCATTTGAAACACTTGCTATCACAGTTTGGTTAATGATCAGTTACTAATTACTATAATAATAAGATGAAAATTTGAGAAAACTCTTCTCCACTGAGGTTCATTTCTAGGTGGTCACAACCAATCTAATATAATTTGTACGTCTCACATCTCCTAACTACTCTTCGTAAGCCATTTTTGAAGTTCAATTTTTTGTTGGATGCCTGAATAAGTGGCTTAAGGGATGATGCTGTCATTAAATTACTTAAAAGTTTTACAACATGTTTTCTTGCTTCCCTCCATGGTTAAATATAGTCATTCAAGTTTAGGTATTTATGAGAGAATCCAAATATTTTACATTTTTTGGTGTTAATGTGATTGTAGTTTCATATACATTCTTGGATGACTTAGCTAGAGGAAGTACCAAATGACAGCTTAAGCTATTAGACAGAAGAATAATATGATTAATAATTAGGGAGGAAGAGACAATTATGGGAAACTGATGATTGATTAGACCTGTCTTAAATTAGCTTTTCGAAGAAATGTTTCCATCTCAAGCTGTACCTTCTCCATTTTTATGCCATGGGCTGCTGAAAGAAATGCCCCCCTAGAATCTTCTAATAATAGAGGAAAAGGTTTTAACTAAACGAATAAATCTGAGATTGGATATGTTAATTGATGCAACATGGAAAGTGTATTCAAGGCGTAGAAAAAATTAAGTTAATTAGGATGTCATAGAATTTTCATTATTAATTAATATTGTCTTTTGTTGTGATTTTAAGACAACTGATTTTGTTTCCTTAACTAAGGAAACAAAATCAGTTGTCTTAAAATCACAACAAAATACAATATTAAGACAACTGATTTTGTTTCTAGGATTAATAAGGAAACAAAATCAGTTGTTTTAAAATCACAACAAAATACAATATTAATTAATAATGAAAATCCTATGACATCCTAATTAACTTAATTTCCTCTACGCCTTGAACACACTTTCCATGTTGCATCATTATTTCAAGTGAATCCTTCACCATACTATGTACAATAAATTTTTTATTAGTTGCATTATTGCACCTAGTTGTGACTGATGAGATGTATTCTTACCAATTATCATAGCAGTGGTTGTGAAGCTTAATCCTGGAGACTGACTGTGCTCTAAATGAATTTTCTAATATTGTTATTGTATTAGCATGCTTGTAATTTGTACCTGAGAAAAACTGATTAGACTGTTGATGTATCAATCAGAAAATTTAATTCATCTTTTGCTTTGCACTTTGATACTTCGGTAATTGCACTTTCTTTTCCTTGTATTGCAATTTCGAGTTTTAATTGATGCTTGATTTTCTATTTCTGGTAGTTTTCGGTACGGCTTCTCTATTGAAGCTCTTATGGACGATGGCATACTGTAGAATCTGTTCTAACTATTCTTTGATGGTAGGTTGTCGATATTAAGAGGGATAGCATAGAAGCTGACACTTCATCCTATCATTGCAAGTAAGTTAAACCCGCAAATTAATTTTGCTCCAATTCCATGCACCTTTTGAGCTGACATACTTGTTTCTTGTTTTCTGTTAACATCGTTTTCTTGAAATTTTGCTTAGTGCTGTACGTCACATTCCTTTGGATTTGATTGACCCATCATTGGCAATTGGGTTTTATTGCAGAGATAAAAGTATGCAGGCATTTCCGTTCCATTTTCTTTTTTTTTTTATGAATTTATGCATCATGGCCAAATCACTTGTAACCTTTAAATCTTGTTTCGATTTTGGCAGGTGATTTTGATGATTTCTGTGCTCGAGCATTGGAGCTATTCAATCAATCAAATGGCGCTCCACTATTTACAATAGCCAAGACCTGCAGTTCTCCAAATCCAGCTGCTCATCACGAGACTTTGAGTGGTAATGCTGCTCGAAAGTATGATTCTATAGATTTGCTGCCCACCGATGAACCCGAAGATGGCGCACAAGATGACTGGCAACTAATCTGACTCCGATTTATGCTCGGTACGAGGCTGATGTTAGACACCAGAATGTGCATACGATCTTTTCCTCTGTAAATTATCACGATTTCCCAAAACTTGGTAACATCCCATTGAATGGAGATTGGTGCGCAGCCCAGTTTCTGTTACGCTTAGGCTCAATCCATTTCTTTTATGTTAGAGACATTAGATCGTCTGTTGTAAGGTTATGCAATAGCTCATTCTTTAATGGGTAAAACCATTTGTACACCATGAGACCATGGTGTACAGCTTTCTCACCCGTTGAGGAGCCCACATGAATTAAAAAATTGTGGATCCTCTTATGTGAGGGGGTTGTAAAGCACCATTGTTCTTTAATTGAAGATATTCCTTATTTGCTGTTTATACATACTTGATACAGTCTCTCATTTCATCGGGCTCCTTATTTTTTTTTTCACACGCCTAATTTATGGGAAAGTGCTTGTTTTCAAAATTGAGCCCAATAGTTTGATGAAAATAGGGAACCGATGATATTAATGTTTAATGTGACATTAAATGAGATATATAATTAAATAAATCACTTAATTAAATAAATCTTTTAATGTGATATTAGTGTGACATTAAATGAGAGGTATAATTAAATAAATCACATAGATTAGTATTATAGCACTAGTGGAACTAGATAGTATTATTCATTAATTTAGAAAAAATGATTGGTCATCGGTTGATTGGCTTCTTCAGTTGCATTAATTGAGAAAAAAAAATAATATTTTTCTTTTATTAATTACATGTTTTTAATTGCAATGAAGATTTTCAATATTTGTTATTTTCGCATGTACGTCAAACTTTCTTGTCGTATTTTTCTTCAACTTTCTATTAAGAGTCTGTTTGATTGCAAGAATGGAATTTGGGTGAAAAGAAAACAAATTTCAGGAATTTGAATTGCCGCGAACTTGTTTTCCTGAAAATTGTCAATTAATGTGTTTGATTGGTATGATTTTTCAAGTGAAAAAAGTTGAAATTTTATATCTTTTGGTGATTGTTTGACTTTGTTTTTCATGAAAGTTGTCAATTAAAGAAACAAAATTTATTACAATTGAGGATAGAATTTGTTCCAATTACCAAAATTTTTTTTTTTAAAAAAAGGGGCTGAAAAACCAATTCCCACCGAAAATGCACGTGTAGGAGGGAGGAGAAGGAAAACAAATTGCTTGGAAAATTATTGTCATTAAACATGCCAAAGGTGGAAAATTGAAAATATTTTCCATGGAAAATTTGCCGAATCAAACAGGCCCTAATTAAAATGTCTCGACTTCAAAGACGATAAAAAAAGCTATTTGGACGGATTAAAAAAGCTTAATTGTCACTCATATTTTGAAATAAACAAGATAAATAATAAGTGCAAACGTTTGATAAAAATAATTTTCTCATGCTAACAAAATATTTGGACAAAAATCATCATCAGTAACAAGATGGGTGAGAAGAATGCGATGAAAAATGGAACTTAAATGTTAAATTAAGGACCTTTATAGTAAATAAAATGTATATAAAAAAAAATCCAGTATTGTGAATATAATTAGGGAACAATACGTATGTTTTACTATAAACCATTTCAATTTTAAGGAATTAATTAAGTATTCAAAAGTCAAGTGATATATATATATATATATATAAGCCCTCTGCACAGACCCCTTTACATAGGTGCACACACATAGGGGTAGACCCCTATAAATATATATATTAGATTATAATATCCATCCTAAAATCAATCATTCAATTACGACATATTTTCATTCCAAATAGGACTTTAATTTAATAAACCGTGAAAATCAAACAAAAGAGAAAAGCTACAGAAAACTCTCCGAAGGAAATAATCTTAATTCCTACCGTTGGAATCTGGCTCATTGAAAATCGATGGATTATTGAGGTTATAAATTCAAAATTATTGGCACTTTAGAGCAGATTTTTTTGAAGGCAACGGTTACAAATTGAGGAGATAGTAGAAGTAGCGAATTGAGTTTAGTGATCATCCCGAAGTAGGTTTGAACTACTTAAAAATGACAATTGGTAGCTAATAACATGTAGTGGGGCTGGATCTTTCTATTTTTGAATTGACGAAACAGTGTTGAAGTTTCAGTCGTGAGTTGTTGGGATGGAAATTGAAAAGATCTATTAGCTCGTAAACTATGATATTGAAAAGATCTATTAGCCTATAAACTATGAATTGTTGTGGTGGAAATGGCAAAGATTCATTGTTATCTGTGATATTGATCAAATGATCTGCTACCAGTTCTCTGTGATATGTGACTTGTTAATATGGATCTATGACTTATGCACTATGACATGTGTACTATGACCTATAAAATGTTAATCGTGATATTGATTCAATGGTCTGTAACCAGTTCTCTTGTATCTGTGATAAATGACCTATAAACTATTACATGTAACTTGTAAATTGTTACCTTTCATATTGATCCAATGGTCTGTGACCAGTTCTCTTGAATATGTGACCTGCGAACATTAATTTGTTACATATGCAACATAGCTCATGACTAGCAAACTGTTACCCATAATTTGTAACATTTGAACTGTGACTTATGAATTTAAATATGTGACATGTTGTCTGTAACGCCTCGTATTCTAGCAACTTGGCACGCTACCGAACATGGATTTCTTAAAGTGCTTAAAGCAATTAATTTCAATAGAACGGAAACTCAATAAAAATTGACAACTTTTATTAAAAGATATATTAAAATATGCTTGATGTTTTGGAATCATATCATGTATCAAAATATTGATAAAAGCTAATTTTTAACATGCGATTGAAACGGGACTAATTGGAATAATAATGTTACTCGCAATTGAGTCTAAGAACCTGTTTGATGCCCCTTTTTTGGCAAAATTTATATTTTGAAATAGTGATTTAATTGAGGATGTGTGACTAAAAAAATAAGGACAAGCTTTTGAATTTGTGTGTAATATTATTTTATTAAAAAATATGACTGAAAATAAGAGAGAGAAATTATTTTTAGAAAAATGGGAATCAAACAAGTCCTAAATATCTAAATAATCAAATATTTTAAAAAATTCTAATGTTTTTAAAATTTAAAGTACTCCATGACAAGAATCCGTCACTTCAATAGCACATCCATCCATCACTGTCTAGTATGCTAATTTTCATCTCAAATTTGTAAATAAGGAGGGATAAGTATAACGAATTATATTCAATGAGATGATTGTTACTACGTATTTAGTCCAAACATGAAATTATGTATAAACTCTCTTACAAACATAAATTGAGAATTATCATACCATGAAAAATGATAATTCTAGCAAGCGTCACAAAATAACGTGAATGCTAACTGATACCCAACGCTATTTCTTAAACTGTATCATGATTTCTCCAGAAGGAGCACTGAATTGAAGTAATTAAATTCATACAAAACAATATATTTGAAAAGATGTGAAAAAAATCACTAATAGCACTAAGTACCTCATCTCAAACTATGAAATACCAATTCTTGAATTGGCCAAAACGAAGCATAAAATTTAAACTCCTTTGAAAAACTACTAAAAGTTTTATCTGCTAAATTTTCTAAAGAATGAAATACAAGTTAAAGAATGGTTTTGTGGTGAACATATGTGCATGACGGTCGTATTTATAGGTAACCTTAGAATAGTTTGATTAGAGTTAAAATTGTATCATAATCAATTAACTATTATGCTAGATTATGTAGATAAATAAAGACTAATTAATTATTTAAATTGTATATTAAATGTCAAATACATACAATACTCAAATGACGTATCAAAACATGGATGGTTTTCCTAAATTGATTAATACTTAAATTCTAATTAAATCACAAATTTAAATCATAATTCAATTGAATAACTGTGTGATGATAAGCCTAATCATTTTGAGATGAATATGATATATTAACTTTCTAGACTTTCGAGACGTTCTAGCCAAATTGAAATATTGTGTGATGATAAGTTTAATTGGTTTAGGATAAAGGTAATACAATTTATATCATTAATATCTAATTTATTTTTCTTTAAATTTATAAATGGCCAAGACAAATAAAGATATTGGAATGGAAAGTATTTTTATTGTTTACTATTTCATTTACATCTTGATTCTTTTATTGATTCTATCTTATTCAAACTTAATCAAAACATCTTTTTCTCGAGTCTATTGTACACAATAAATTATAAGCTATTTAACGAGTCCAACATTACTATAGTAATTTAATCTAAATTGTAAATTAATATTATTAACTAAGTAGGTTTCTTATTTGGCTCTAATTTGAGTTTAACTTATCCAAATTAATTTTTTATTGAGTCCATAATTTGCAATTTATTACGAGTTTCAAAACGAACCTAATATTGATAGAGTAATTCTAACTCCTTCGATAGTTAACTATTTGACCCAATTAAAATAAATATGAAATCTAATATTTATTGTTACTTTGATCATTCAACTACCAAGGAAAAATCATATAGATCCAAATTAAATATTAAGCATAACAAATTGACTTGCATAAATACTTGACTAGACATGACATTTCTACCAATTGGAAAATAAATTATATGCGATAAAACATGTAAAATTTCAGGATTCTCCATTATTAGGGCAAAAAACACTTGTGATCTATCTTCAAATAATATTGACATGTAACATTGATCTACGACATATACAATAGGACATGTGATATGTGAATGGTGACTTGTGACCTATGACTCGTGAATATAAATCATTCATCCATGACCAGTTCTAATTGATCAATGACTCGTGGATATTGGTCTCTAACCATGCACAATGACATGCAACCTGTGAATTGGTGACTGTGAATTCTACCACTGAGACTCAGTAATCATTTATAGGTATAAAACAGAGAGCTTCAAAATATACAGTACAGAAAATCCGAAGTTAATTAACAATGGACCCAAATTTTAAGCCCACTAATGTATATCTCAATTTCTTTGCGATCCCAAAGAAATTATTAGAAAAAGGCTTTTAGTCAAGAATAGAATACATGAACAACAACCCAAAAAAAGGTTTTAAAAAAGTGGAAATCACACAATACCATAGTTTAACTATTCATAATTCCTAAATCAGAGTGGAAGTTTAATATTTCAGTAATTACTTTTTTTTTCTTATATTAATTATTTTAAAATTATTTAATAACTGTTTTCCCTAAATTCACTTTTTTTTTTTAAATTTGGAAACTCTATATTCATTAAAACCTCCCTACGCGTCCTTTCCATAAACTCCACGTTCAATCACATATCCATATTTTACGATTACCCCGCCGTTCATCCAAGCCATATTCTGCCATTCACCCCTATTCATTTTCCAGCGAAGTCTCGACGATCGTCATCAACGTTCGTATTTACATCTATTA